TCGGCCTCAAAAACTCAGGCGCCACTTACACCCCGATGGTGGCCAGAGTATTTCAGGCCGTTCTGGGGCGCACCATGGAGGCGTATGTTGACGACATGATCGTCAAAAGCAAACAATCCTCCAGCCATGCTGACGACCTAAGGGAGATCTTCGCCATCATGCAGAAGTTCAACCTTCGGCTAAACCCGAAAAAGTGCACCTTCGGCGTACAAGGAGGCAAATTCTTAGGCTACATGGTGAGCCGAAGGGGTATCGAGGCTAACCCCGAGAAAATCCAGGCCATCATCAACATGGAGCCCCCACGCAACGTGAAGGAGGTCCAACGGTTGACGGGCCGCCTGGCAGCCCTCAACCGCTTCCTATCAAAATCGGCGGAGAAGTCCTTACCCTTCTTCCAGATCATGAGAAAGACAACCGGTTTCCAGTGGACTTCAGAGTGTCAGGAGGCTTTCGAGGAACTGAAACGGTACTTATTTTCACCCCCTGTGCTCTCTAAACCCAAGGTAGGGGAGACCCTATACCTTTACCGTGGTGTTAGCCCGGCAGCCATCAGCTCAGTACTCATCCGGGAAGAAGATGGCGTCCAGCATGCCATCTTCTATATTAGCAAGACCCTCAGGGAAGCAGAACTTCGGTATTCCCCTGTGGAAAAAATGGTATAGGCTATCGTTTGGACTGTCAAGAAGTTGGGCCATTACTTCCAAGCTCACCCGGTCCAGGTCCTCACTCACCAACCCCTCGGCGCTTTGATGAGGAGCCCCACCAGCTCCCCCCGAATGGTAAAATGGGCTGTCTTCCTGAGCCAATACAACATCGACATCCGTCCTAGGCCCGCCATCAAGGGCTAAGCCTTAGCGGACTTCGTGACGGAGTGCACGACGAGATCAGCCACGGAAGAGGAGCCCTCGGCCCCCTCGGATGATTGGTGGACCCTCTACACCGACGACTCCTCCGCTGTCAAAGCATGTGGAGGAGGGGTGGTTCTCATCTCATCCGAAGGCTTCCGGGCCTATTACGCAATCCGCTTCTCCTTCAAGGTCTCCAACAATGAGGCCGAATACGAGGCCCTCCTTTGTGGCCTTCGGCTGGCAGCTAACATGAAGGCCCGACAGATCCACGTCAAGTGCGACTCCAAGTTAGTCGTCGGCCCCTTGGCCGAAGGCTCTAGATACTCACAAAAAGGCTATTTCAGCATACAAAGACACTGGGAGAAGACAGTAAAAACAGCAGCCCTCAGCACCTAGGGTGCCCCCGGAAGGAAGAACCTTCGGTCAATCATCTACGGCCGAAGGCTTCTCCTCGACAGAATCTCCCACCCACATGCGCTAGGTCAGCGTACCAAGTACAAACGTCACATCCAACCACCGCATTTAATGCGGCCACATGCGAGTGCCAGTGACACCCGGTTGATGTGACCCCTCGGCCGTTGGATGCATGACATGTGTCCCCTTCTCGCATTTATTACTACTATAAATAGCGCCCCTTTTCCCCATTTGTAACCCAAGCAAAAAAACCACGCTCACTACATTCTCAGCTATATACTCTCTCTCTCTCTTACTTTTGCTCTCACTTCTCTCTAGTTACTCCCCGCAGTAACCCTTCGGATACATACCCCCGGGTAGACTATCCATCAATACACACACACACACACACACACACACACACACACACACACACACACACACACACACACTCCCTCCGGTGCTTAATGAAGTTTACACTTTGACTTCACACATATTAAAGAAATATATTTGACTTTACTATAGAGTACAATGTTTGGCACTGTTTGCCACTGTTTGATACTGTTTGGCATTGTTTGGTGTAGATTTGTTTATCAAATAAGGCAAATAAGGAAGTGTAAAGTTTAATGTGTGACGGTCCAAAAAGGAAAGTGTAGTTAAATATATATATATATATATATATATATATATATATATATATATATATATATATATATATATATTTAGGATCATGTGAGAATTTGATCTTAGGAGAGTAAAAAAGAATAGATATCAACCATTGAATTTGGTTTTAATCATCCGTGCGGCTAAGGCTTTCCAAAGGTGTCAAAAGTGATCAAAGTCAAATACGTTTACTAATTGTTGAATTAGTGTGATACTCGTAGAATCAAAAGTTTAATTCAGTTACAAAAAGTATATCAAATTCAAAACTTTTTATTATCTTTAATATGATACCTATGTTGCATATATATAAAAATATCTATTAGTTTGTGCAGTCTATGATCGTAATTTTTTTATCGTGCATATCAATAACTCGGACCGTTAGCTTAGAATTTTAGCGCAAAGAATAAAACAATAATTAAAAGTGATGGAGTTTATGCAATTTTATTCTAAGCTCTCACTTCAGATTAATAGTGTGTATGGTAAAAATAGATCTTAAACTGCACATTTTTTATATTTTGTATATCAATAAAATTATATTTTTTTATTTTTATATTATCAATACTATCACTACAAAACAATTACGGGATTGACACAGATTTGGCTCGGGTTTATCGATAATAACGTGCCAAATAGCTCGTGCCAAACTATTTTTGACACAGATTTGGCATATCCCTGTCAAAATCTCTGGCAGTTTTGGAAAATCCCTGTCAAAAATCTCTGTCAATCTTGTGTTTTTTTGTAGTGTACCATGTATAAATATATAATCGATCAAAGTTTGATATCATTGACTTGAAAAATAAAATTTGACTAAATAAGAAGGGAACGGGGAAAATACCTAATTTAATCTTACCATACACATGATTTTTGTTACCATATTTCGACATGTGTCCTAGTCTTACCATACTTTCATTATTAAACTGCTTACCAATTTAATAACCTCCTATACAAAGAGTTAATGATCCAAATAGGACTAATAACAAAGTTAATTGCACATATAGGACTGCATACGGAAGTGAAGTTTCATAGGACTTAATTCAACATACTTGGACAAAAATAACCCTACTTTATTTTTTTTAATTTTAAAAAAGTAAAATAGAAAAACTGCTGAAACCCTATTTGTCAACTGCCAATAGTAGCACTGCTGCCGTCGAAGCCAGAGCCGCCCCCCTGCCCTCACCGACTACCGCCGCCGTTGCCGGCACCGCCAGCCCATGTCCTTGCCGGCGCCGCCTGTCGCCACCCTCTCCGGCGCTGTTGCATCGTTGCCGGTGCATCGTCGCCATACATCACCACCCAACCAGCGTCACCGTCCGCCTCTGCCGCCTCCATCCTACCATCGTCATTGCTGCCTGTGTTAAATCTGGGACCACCATTTCACCTTCGAGTACCGCCTATGCCGTCACACCCCACCGCAAAAAAAATGTCATTAAATTATTGGAAGATTTGGCCTTGAAAATTACGTTCAAATCTGTCTTTAAAACAAATTTTCAGATCTACCATCATCAATGGTAGATTTATATTGATCGATTTAGACAAATCTGCCATCCATCATCATGGCAGATTTATATTGACCGATTTACACAAAACTGCCATTATCTTAGCAAAATATGAAGTCCACGAATAAATTTCTGAAAAAACAAAAATTTAAGAGAACAATAACTTTAACAAATTCATCTCATTAACAAATAAGAAGTGAATGACAAAAAAAACTGATTTTCACAAAAAATGTTTTACCATAATATGATTGTCAGATTACATTTCTGCCATAAACTTGGAAAAATTGTAAGCCATCATCCAAAAAACTGCCATAAACTTGGCCAAATCTGAAGCTATCATCTAAAGTTTTTGAAAACCAGATTTTTGTTAAAACTTAGAGATCAGAAACCACAAAATCGAAAAAGAAGCCTGAAATTGACAAAATCAATTGGAAATCAAGAAAATCAGAGGAAAATCGAAAAAGAAGGAGAAGAAAGAGAAGGAGAAGAAACAGAAAGAGAAGGAGAAGAAGAAACCTGAAATTTGAAGCAAAATAAAGATGATGGTGGTGAATAGCGAAGGCGGCGAAGGCATGGGCGGTGGAAGCACCGTGCGGTGGAGTAGGTGGCGGGCAGATCCACAGGGAGAAGATGAGATACCAGCTCTTTGTGTTGAGGTCTGTGAGAAGGAATCAATCGATCTATGAAAGGAGAAGGAGAGAGACGATGCGTAAATGGGTGCAGGGGCAAACATGGGAAGCATATTTGCGTATCTTTAACGATAGGAGTAAATTGATCCTATTAAGGGAAGAAAACATTATAAGTCCTGTTTTTGCATTTGATCCTTGTTTTAGTCCTATATGGGCAATTACTTTCTATACAAATTGTGACTACGTACGGAGTAGTATATAACCTGCACACTCATGGGCGTGATTTCACACTTTTATAGTTTTATACTTTAATATTAATTATTAATATATTATTACCATACAAATTGCTTACCAAATTAGTAACCTACAAACTGATGGGCGGGCTTTCACTTAACTTGGTACATCAATTTCCCATTATACCCTTAATTTGGGTGGCAATTTTGCCTCCAAAAATTGTAACCGCACTGTTATTTTATATTATATTAAGATATCGATTGATTTAGATCGAATGAGATGAGAATAGTAATAAATAAATACTCCCTCCGTCCCATATTTATCTTCGTAGTTCGGTTTACGATGTTTGATTGACGATAAAGCAACTTGATCCCTGTTCGCACTCAGATTATTTTTAGTAAATTAAATTTACATATTCAGAAACTACATTAAATCCGCTACAAAGGCTGATCAAAAAAATTTAAGTTTGATAAAAATTTGATATATAAAGTAAAAGTTTAAGAGTAATTTGAGTTGACCGTGTGAATAGTAACTATGAAGATAAGTTTGGGACGGAGGGAGTACGAAGTAAATAAAATCCCTACCCGTGAGTAACTCGTCCCGGTCCGGTCGTCCAATTCCCGGTCAGAACCAGATTGTGCTCAGCGCTGTGAACACCCACTGAAAATCCGTGGGAAGCTTATGGCCGGCGATTTATACTCTTGCCACCGGAGTTTTTTTATACATCCCTTCACTTTCCTGAATTGCCTTTGCCCTTAACCTCTCTCCGGCCGTCTATTGAAGACTCTTCTCCCTACATCCGGGTATATATCTGTATCTGCTCTTTAAATTCTCTCTCGTTCCCTTAAACCCTGGGTAGCGTTTTCTTTGGAAGAACCGATTTTTATCAACTCCAATGGTAATTTTTTTATTAAGATAAATATGTAGAGAAATTAAGCGCCTTTGTCTTAGCTTGTCTATGTACTAGTGTATGACAAGCTTATGATTGTTGCTCGATCTGCTGCTATGGGATTGTTATGTTATCTTTTAGCGTCATTTTAACTGGGCCTGATTAGTTTTGGGCAATCATTGATACCCTATTACACTCAAGCCCTTGTCATCCTGAGTTCCACCAAATAAAATATGGATTCATTGTTAAATTTGTGGCAAATCGAAGGATATCTTCCTCCTCAGCTAAAATTTTAATGGAGTGGATAGATCGTACATTTATTTATTTATCACTCCATATATTATCACTATTATAGTCGTATTATTGTTGTTGTTATTTCACATACTTCTCCTTTTTAAGATGATAAATCTCAAATTTGGCGAAAGCATGAAAATGGCTACCAACAGGACTGCAAAAGTACCAAGTATCTATAAACTAAACAGTCTAAACCACTACTGACTTTGTCTGCATTGACTTTGAGGCTGATGAAGGTTATTCAGATGTCCATTCAAGGAGAAATTGTAGTGAAAGGACTCAAAGGAGCCATTGTTTGTTTGGTTCTGAATCTTATTTGTTTCTTATCTTAAGGTGCCCTTCCCCTCTTTTGTGCAAGGAATAGCATACACCACCTAAGACTTGCACGTGAATGTGTTAGAAAATAGAAGAGATTGTAGGTGTATGAATAGGATAAGTGATTTTAGTTAGGTGTAGTGTAGAGGATGTGTTTTAGAGTAGAGCTCTTGTCTCTAGAAAAGTAGTATTGTATTGATGTTTCTTGGTTTTGCTTGGTGAGCAAATGATTACATAAGGTCCTATTTATAGGTGCTAGAGGATCATTCTAGATCCTTATTAAATGCTAGGAATCTAGAGTATTCTACTTTTAATTATTCTAGACTCTACTTAAGAATTCCTTAGTAGAGAATTCTCTAGAACATTATTTCCTTTGACTCTCTAGAACATTTCTAGATATAACTACCTAGAATATTCTAGATAAATGCATCACTATTTAATAGAATGCAATAATGCATTTAGTTGAAAATGTAGTCCAAAACACAAATGCAGACATATAGATATTTGTAGTAATGTAGTATTAGAAACTGATATAGATTGGTATTGTTTACATTTGAACAAGCCCAACAGTGCAGCTGTGCAGGTGACATTGCCATTTTGGAAATCCATTTCTTATATGATGGGTAATATGTTGGTAAGTTTTTTATTATCGGATATTTTTACCACAATTTTGTAAATGTAGGTTAGTGAAGATTTAGGTGCCATGGGTGACACAGTTGATTTAACCGGAGATGGAGGGGTTCTGAAAAAAATTGTCCGAAGAGCAAAATCGGATGCTGTTTCTCCATCAGAGAGCCTCCCTCTTCTTGATGGTATGTTTTACCTCAAAAGCTTTCATCCATGTATGCTGATGGCATTTAAATCTCTTGCAGTATCTTCCATTGTGATCACAAATTACTTTTATACATCCACTATCTTCATGCAACAATGTGTCAACATATATTTACCTGGTTGATATAACTAGTGCTTCTTCAAAGAGAAGCTTTTTCCCCTCTTCTATCTGATTTAAAAGTATTTTTTTTGTCCTTTTTCATTTTTAGTTGCTGGCCATCTTTATGCGTTTTCAGGTAGATAACTTTGACTGAGTTCTGGTTAAAACAATAACTAAATCTTGCTGCTGCAGAAGTGACTAGCTGCGAACTATTAAAAGAGTAAAATATATTGCCAGAGTTAAAAGTGCACACTTTTAGCAGTAATTTCATAATTCTGTAATAATCTTCCTGCTGAAATTCAAGAACACAAGGTTACTTCAGCTCTTCTTGGATAGCCAAAGTTCAATACTTTCCATAAGTAGGGGTGTTCATCGGTCCAAGAGTGGACCGAGTCGGTAACAAAGACCAAAAACTTTAAAATCTTGGATGGAAGACTGGACCTAAAACATTCGGTCCTGGACCGAAACAATTTAAAAAGCCTGACCGAACCAAGAATGGATCGAATGGACTAAAATATTGTCCAAAAGAAAAAAATGTAAGATCAATACCTATCCCATCGAATGGAGTATAAGTTATTTCAATTATAATATTATCAAAATTATCAAAATTTAGTAATATTAATCATTGTCTCAACAATTAGTTTAACTAATCATAAATTATAAGATGAGAATCATGAGATACACATATATCTCATCTATATACAATTATTTCATACAAATAAAAGATTTATTGTATTTCCTGTAAATTACTCTGGTCTCTGGACCGAGAAATTCTAGCCCTGGACCAGAATGAGCTGGACTGCATTAATGCAATCAGTTCGGTCTTTGGACTGGAAACACTATTAAGTCCCGTCTGCAGACATCGAATTTCTCGAGTCTCACATCGGTTACCCGGAATGGGTTTGAGTCTAGTAATATATGTATCAGGAAAAATTCCTTTTGAGGTGAGTAGGCTCAAATTTAGCATAATGGAAATATGGTATTTGTTGGAATGTATTCACCCCAGTTTTCGTTTTCTCCACGATAGTGCCTATTTGGGATTACACTTGAAGTTCTTTTCCATTTAGGCAGTTCTTATAAATGGGTCATTTTGTCGCTTTTATGTTGACAGAAGTGTATTCCACCGTATAAAAAGATATAAACTGACCATTCCGATTAAGAAGTGCATTTTTATTTCCATAAAAATGTAAAAATTGCTTTTTAAATTTTATAGAGGGTAAGCTTTGCATGTTTCAAAAGTCATCGCAAACAATATTCACATAATTATCTTTTACGTACACAATAACATGCCCCCACCCTGCCCTCACCCTTGGTGTAAAAAACAGTTCATTATGAAGGGAGTCTTGCAGAGACTAGTGAAGTCTTTGATACGACCCGTGAGGATAATACGGTGTTCACATTTGAGGTGGGCAAGGGATCTGTCATCAAGGCTTGGGATATTGCCCTCAGAACCATGAAGGTCTTTGAACTAATGAAACTTACTGTACTTTCATAATGCCTTGCACTGATCTCTATTGGAGTGTGATACTCGTTGTTTGACTCTAGTTTTGTTTCTTTGGTTTCATGAATCAGGTCGGGGAGGTAGCTGTGATCACCTGCAAACCAGAATATGCTTATGGCACTGCAGGGTCTCCCCCAGATATCCCTCCAGAGTATATGCTCTCTCTCTCTCTCTCTCTCTCTCTCTCTCTCTCCATTTTATAATATTTGTAGGAATTGTAGCATAGTAATGACTATAATCTACTAGTCTTGTTCCAACAGTAGGTAAATTAAAGAAGTATATTTATGGCATTGTTTGAGCACTAAATTCTTTTTCTATTTTCCTATATTTTTTCTTATTTTCCCTCTAAATGGAAAAATGAACTGAAGCAACACTCGGTTAAATGGTGGGTAGTGTTAATGGGCTGTTCGCCCATACCTCCTATGTACTGTTTAGACTTGTTTGTTTTATAGAAGAGAGTAAAATGTCTCTTCCATTTTCAGATTAGAAACAAAAGCCATTTGAACTCTCCATTTTGTCAGCTGTCCATACTCTCTTCTTTCTGCTGACTTTGCCCACCTCTACAAAACAAAGCATTACTTCTTGTGTTGCTCTGTCGCTTAAAGAGTCACCTATTTTTTAGCACAAATTGAGAGATGGTTGTTAAATTGGTTAGTTGGAGCATGCCAAAAGGAACATCGGGCTATCTTTATGGAAAGTGTATTATTTTGGGCGCTCTGTTAAGGGGAGAGAAAAGAATGGAAATGGAATGAAAGTGGATGCTGGGTTATTGGGAAAAAGTTATCTGCAGTGATTTGATTCCCTTAAAGTACGCAATACTCCATTCCTCTCCCTCTTGGGGAGAGGGAGATGTAACCATACCCATAGTATTTCATTACTCCTTATTAGCATCCCCTTAGCGCCATCCATTAGCATCCTTAGTCTTCGACTTCTTCAGACTTGTTTCTATTGTTGAAGTTTTGTATTATAAATTCATAATCATTTATTCACTGAGTAAAAGAAAGAAATATGACTTTGTTATATACATACGGAGGCCTAAGGGAGATCTCTCATGCTCACAAGTAGAATATTCACAAACTGAATAATATTTTTACATACTGTAGGGCAACACTTGTATTTGAGGTAGAACTGGTGGCTTGTCGGCCTAGGAAAGGATCTAGCTTGGGCAGTGTCTCTGATGAAAAAACAAGGCTTGAGTAAGTCTGTCTTTTACTCGGTTTATATTTGATGATATTATCACACTCTGTCACTAAAGGCTCTTCTCATTTCCATTATTAGCAAAACTTGACCACTAACAATTTCGTTTCCCAATTTTTACCATTTTCGCACTCTTCTCAGAGTGTTACCCACTAACCGCACCTCTAACTGTATGCAAAACTCAAGCAGGAAGAACATTTGTAAATAGAGGGACTGGGGGAAGGCATGTTTAAACGAGTATTTCCATCCCAAAACAAAAATACAAATTAGAAAAACTTGAAGATTAACAGAGGGAGGGAGTTTAAAATCTATGCAAAATGAAAAGAGGAACGATTTAGTTTAGTAAATACTATGTAAAATACTATCAAGTTCTTCCATCCCTATTTAATTTTCATTTTTTTCGGGATATCCCTAAATAAGGTTCTCTTTACTCATTAGTTAAAAAATGTTATCAATTTACTCTACCACTCTCATATAATATTCCCACAGTACAATACCATCTTCGTCCCAAAATAAATGTTACAAATTTTTGGGCACATCCGCACATAGGTTAAGAAAGTGGATAAAAAATCTAAACCATCCCCCCTTATACTGTAGCAACAGAAAAGCAAGTAAAATTGTAATGACAAAGTTGTTGATTTAAGGAAAAGGAATGAAAAAGTATGAATTGTATTTAGGATCATTTGACAAAAAAAGAAAATGTAATCTATATTCTGGGACGGCACAAAAGGGAAAATGTGCAACTTTTGTTTTGGGATGGATTAATATTTACCCATTTCTGGAAATGCAATGGAAAAAATGTTTTTCTTAAAATCTGTGAAAATTAAACAAGTAAGCATTTTAAGGGACGAAGGTAGGACATTCTTTACTACTACGTATTCATTAAGCTAAAAGACTTTAAAAAAGGAAAAATGAGTATCATCCATCCGAAGCAAAAGAACCCATCTTAGGGAAACTTGAAAAGCATTCACTTTCACACTTTCCTAGCAACATCTAATGGTATGATGTGAGATTGTGAACCTTTTCTACTTAACTGTTTAAATCCTGCTGGGGACATAGCAGTACTCGTTTATGGAATAAAGTTTTTTGGAACTCAAAAAACAGTAGGGAAATGGAAAGAATAATTAAAAAAAATTGTACATACTGCATACATATGTTTATATTTATAACGCATTTATAATTTGAGATAAGACAGAAAGCCTTGCAGTTGACCTATTGAAACTGATACTCAAATCACTTTATATGTATGGAACATTTTATTCAGCACAAGTTATGACATGTACCAATGCGCACGTACAGGGAGCTAAAGAAACAAAGGGAGGTATTGGCCGCCAACAAAGAGGAGGAGAAGAAGAAGAGAGAGGAAGCCAAGGCAGCTGCTGCCGCTCGTATCCAAGCAAAGCTTGATGCAAAGAAAAATCAAGGCAAAGGGAAAGGGAAAGCTAAGTAGCCATAGTGTGTATGTTTATTATCCATGACTGACTCATGATAATTGAAGCTTCCAACATTATTTCGATGAGATGATGTGCATGGTGGTGTTGTACTTTGACCTTCACTGACTCAACAATTTCTTGTATTATTTGAAAATTTCTGTATTCTTCTTTATTTATTACATCTCACTTTTCATAATTGAAGTTCAGGCTTGACAAAATAATTTGGATCGACCGAAATGAATCAAACCAAATTAAAAATTGCTATAGGAACACGATGGTGAATTTTATAGGAATATAATACTTATTGGTAGAAGAGTATTTTAAGACAAAACTGAAAAAATTTAGTCCCGACTGCCTAGCCACTGCCTAGGCGCCTAGCCCACCAAATTGCCCGCCTATGTGACCAACCCATTTTCTCACTGATTACCACGAAATTGTGGTGCCCGGTCACCGCCTAGCGAGTAGCGACTAGGTGGTGTCTAGGTCGATTTTTAGAGCCATGGACATAACATGGGGTTTGACACATTTTTTAAGTCATAAAGGGGCTTAACACAAATCTATAGTCCTTATATCACAAGGAAGTTTGACACATTAAATCCTCATTTTATTTGAAAAAAAGGATTATTAGTTTATTTTATCCCAAACTATCATCAAGTTCATAAATTTATCCTATTCTTTTACTTTTATCAAAAAAGGCTCAAACCTCATCTTTTTCAACAATTATGGTTTTCTTTGTTTTTTTCAAAATTACAAATTTTATCAATGCCAATAAAATATAAGTAATACAAGTTTGTAAACTTAAAACTAGAAAGAAGTGAAAAATATAAATTATAAATATGATTTTGTTCTTAAGTTTTACTAATTCATCTATTGAAAGTGTAATTGTGAGAAAAATTTAAGTTTGAGTTCTTTTTTAATAAAAGTAAAAGTATGAGATAAATTTGTGAATTTGATGATAATTGAGGATACATTTAGCTAATAATCCAAAATAATAGCTACGATATTATTCTCTTTGTCCCTTAAAATTCTTTTCACTTATCTTTTTGGGACATCCCAAAAAATTCTTCCCGTTACCTTTATTGAAAGTTTTGTGTGGCTAACATTCATTTACCTTTTTGTTACTCAAGCACAACCACGCATTTCCACTTTATTCTCACTTTCTTAAACTTTGATCCAAGTCAAACTGAGAAGAATTTTAAGGGACTAAGAGAGTATCTTATAGGGCGACACATTAATTTAAAATAAAGAGCAAAGTTTAATGAGGCTTTTACTAAAATATTACTGAAATAAAATTTGCGGATAAAAATCCGACAAAAGTTACTTTCAGTATAAATTTATGGTCACCATAGTTTAAAATTAAACATAATTATAGCCACTAAAGCCAGTTTGGTAACTTTGAAACTAGTTGAATCGCCTGAATCTGCTGAAAAATAGGAGTAACATGATGACAATATTTGCTTTCATCTTGGAGTCATTACTATCAAAAATAGGAATAACTCCAAGATGAAAGCAAATATTGTCATGTTACCATATTTTCTGGAATTCTGGAGTAATCAGGGCTGAAACTCACTCCATTGAGTTTCAAACCCTTATGTGACAACGAGTTTCGAACTCGAGACCACCCACTAGGCACGGTAACCTCACAACCGGCTGAGCTGGAATTACCACAACATAACTTTAACAAAAATTGTAATCACTAATATTTACTAAGTAATATTTTTGTCCATCACATTTTAAAGAGTAATATTTATGGATTTTTTTCTTAATATATTTCAAAATATGGGTGGACATGGTCTGGTTTTGAGCTGCGAGCTGCTAGTGAGCCAGTCCATGGGGAAAAAATATGGGCCCAGGACCAGCACTTATATTCCATGGGGAAAATATATAGTTTTCAATCCTTCTTTCCCTCATGCCCTTGTCATCTTTTTAACCTTTTCTTAAATGTACCTCACCCCTTTTAAAATGCTTTCCACTAGTTCCAAATGCTAAAAAATGGGAATGAGAGTAGACCGGTCAATCCCGGTTCGAGGCACGGGATAAGACCTATTTCTCATCGGTTCGGTCTCGGCCTCGGCCTAGAACTTATTTTTCGGTCCTATTACCTGAGTATATGACAGAGTATTGTTACCTGAGTGGATGAGCATATGACGGAGTATCATTACCTGAGATGAAAATCACGGTTTCTGGTGAATGAGCATTAATAAACTTTTAATGAACATTAGATCTATTACATTGAGTATTAGGAGTCCAATATCCAGAAACGTGATCTCTGCTTCATAACTTCTAATTCACATACTTTTTGTTATTTTTTCTTTTATAAAAACTTATTAAATTATATGTATAATTACCTCCTATGAATTTCAATGTGACTTTAATGTAAAATAGTACTTTTAAAAAATGCATTGATATGACATTTAGAAAATGAGCATAAGATCAGTACCAAATAGCATACGTAACTTACAAAATGCGCATTGATTTTAAATTTGTAAGGTTCGTTGGTTGAACATCACGACATTTTCATTGAGCATCAAATCTCCTCTTTTGAGATCGATGAAAATCACGTTTTCTGTTAAATGAGCATTAATGAATTTTTAATGAGCATCAGACATATACAAATGAGAATATGTAGCTTACAAGATGAATATTGATATGAAAATCGTAAGGTTGTTAGTTGAGCATCAAGACATTTTCAGTTGGTATCAAACCTCCGTTATTGAGTACTAGAATTGTGCGATTGAGTATCACGATTTGTGGTCTTGTGACTATAATCAACTTCTATGTGAATCTAATGTAATATGAGACTTTTGAAATGTGCATTGATATAACATTTTATAATGAGCATAACAGACGTACTAAATGGACATACATAACTTACAAAATGAGTTTTAAAAATGCAAAAGCTCATTTGTGTATGTTCATTCTATTTAGACGTTTTACTCATTTGACTTTATAATAAAACTCATTTCTAATGTGCTCAATATTAATATATAAAGCTGAACGTAATATTCAATTAATTGAATCATTAAAGTTGTGAGTTAAAAGTGAAAAATAAGAAAGTTGCAGGCTCTAAAAAACACAACAATTGCGGATGATATTTTTAGCAACCGAAGAAGAGGTATTTTTGGAGCTCCGGTGTGTGACATAGCAGAAGAAATTGAGTTATCCAGAGCTCTGATGGTGGCGCAACAGAGGAGTCGAGTTATCCAGAGCTGCTGCAGAGTCCGTCAATGAGCGAGGAAGATGATCAGCGTGATTCTAAGCGGATGATCAAGCTATCATGGTGAGGACTGAGCGAGAAAGATGATCGACAATTCAGATGTTAGGATGAGAGAATCATTAATTGAAAGACTTAAAATTGAGGAAATCTTCCGCTAGTTCTTTGGCTAAATAACCCACCCGGAACGAAAAGACTTAAGTGTTTTTTTGTACTCCGTAATTCTTATGCTAGTAACTTATTGTTGTACCTCACATGAATCGATCGATCCAAAGGAAATGACAACCAACCATTCCAGCTTACTGGATGGGAGGTTATCGTATCCTACCGGAGGTCTCGGATTCAAATCCTGCTAGGCACATTTAGGGAAGAAGAATGAGGTATTGCTCCTAATGATTCTTTCTACCTTCACGGAGCCGCTAAGCGGCTGAGAAAGGAGAAGATTGTTATAAAGATAGCGGGTTCATGTGGTGAGCCTAAATGATGATGTAAACCTTGGTGGATTCATTCTTTTGAGTCAATACTGACGAGGCTGATTCCAGAATTATGGGAGCGCAAAAAACTCAATCCCATTTTCGAATTGAGGCCGTAATCATTGGAAAAGTGAATTGAACTCTTTATGATAATCTGATGTCATATGATAATACGCAGTAGTTCTAGCTTTTAACATACTCCGTACTTGATAATGGCCAGAAGTTCCCATAGGGGGGTGTGCTCATTCATAAAAAAAATGTGGTAGTAAGTGGGGTGCTCATTCATGATTGGATGGATGGTATTACTTGAGGAGCTGAGAGGCGTTTAATTATGTTGTATCCAAAATAATACTCTCTCCGTCCCGAAAAGGTTGGTCAAATTTTCTTTTTTGGATGTTCCAAAAAGATTTGTCATTTCCATTTAAAGTAAGGAATATGTAGCTAGAATCAATTCTCTCTCTACTCTGCACAAATTTCAACCACACAACTCTTTTTGGGACGGAAGGAGTAATAATAATGGTTTCAAATCACTAGTAAGCTAAGTGATGAGACTCAAAGACAAGTGGGTATGTAATAATAATACTATAATGTGGTACAAGTTTGGAGCGTAGCATAATGTAAGAATTGCCAAGAAAAGGACTCGCGGTTTGGCGAGAAAGTAGAAATGAAAACATAGATAAGCAACTTGATGACTTGATTGTATTTCCAATTAAGCAATTCAAATGATGGGCACATTTGTATGAGTTGGACTTGAGATACACACTTTTTACGCATGTCTGTGTAAGGTTTTTTTTATTTTTGTACAAACATAATGTATTTTTAAAATACGTTATATCTGTACAGACATAAAAAAACCTTACACAGACATGTGTAAAAAGTGTGTACACAAAAAAGTGTGTACCTTTATAATTTTTCCATTTGTATACCAACCAAAACTCCAATCTTTGGCATCCAACATTTTCTTTTTTAAATAAGTGAGGCCAGGCCACCTTAAGTCTACCAATTCTCAATCACTAGTTTTAAAAGGGAAAAGTACCAAATTTGGCACTAAACATTATGAATATATATATATATATATATATATATATAGTTAGCACGCTCACATGCTAAGGTATGAATGATAAAACTCATCCAAATTTAAGCTGAAAGAATCATTCATTATGCCAACATCCAAATATATGTATCCGCTAAATTCACTCTTAAATGTAATATTTGAAATTTTAAATCTCAACTTCAGTAGTAAAGTTGAATTCAACTAAAAAAAACATTGTATCAACTTTTAACATTCGTTTGTCTTTTTCTTTTTTTAAACACTTTATTCTGATTATCCCCACATGTATATAGTTTAAACAATATTGATTCTCTCTCTTTAGAAATTTATGTAAAGTACAAAATCATCTCTATTTGTCAACTTTTAACTCGTTGCTGACTTTGTTGTTTGAAAGCGTGTTTAATTTATTTATATTCAGCCCGTAATCATCCAAACCACTAGATTAATCAGATATGGGTT